CCCTTGTCCTATCACTACATGCCCTCGTAAAGAGTCATCCTCCAGCTTTCTTATTGGCTCCCATTAGGTACTGGAAGGCTGCACTAAGGTTCTCTTGGAGCCTTCTCTTTTCTCCTCCTTTGCTTAACTTTTAAATATATCACATTTAAGATATTCTTCCTGTTTTGGAGTCAGCAGCATTTGCCAGTATGTTTATGCCTAACCCTAAAGAGCAATATTTAGCATTAATTGCCAATTAGGCTGTGTTAGACCTAGACTGTCTATGTTACAGTATCATTGTCTACAGCCTGCACATAAAAGTGACACTAGGCTCTTACTTGTTTGAAATGTGGCTCACAAGGTTCACTTTATTATTTTTCTCTGCCTCCTTTTTTCTAAATGAGGAGGCATTAACTTAACCTTCAAGCTTTACAACTGGTGAGGGAACATTTTATGAGCAATCTGAAAGAGCACCTTTGCAAGAAGTCGTGTTACTACCCGCCCTACGTCTTCCCTCCACTCCGGTATGTCAGGGTTGTACATGTCCAGGTGCTTAGTAAACTTCAGAGGAAGAACATGAAAATTATCTAGAAAAAAACCAAAAAGTAACATTTTTTGAACAAATAACAAACCAGGTTGAAAAAACAGTTTTGTAGAAATAAAAGATGAAATAATATTTAGCATTATTTGCTGCGCAGCGTTGTGGTATCTATGAACCCCACTGCTCTGTGTTTGTGTACTCTTGCATGGAGCAAGACTACACTCCTGTCAGGCACTCAGTTTCTTTCTGTAGTTTGGTCAACATCATCAAATTTGTGCCTAAAGACAAAAAAGCAGGAAGGAAAAAAGAACAACCGAAAGAAATTTACACATGCGATCTGGGGTCATAACATTCCCAGTATTTTTTCCTTAGGACAATACACTGCACAGACATGGTTGGTTTCATTTATTTGTAATGGGAATGTGCCAATGGATCTTATTCTCACTGAATCATAAGCACATGTTTTTTGCCATTACATGTTCCTGGTTTTCATGTAAAACGAATACTTTACATACACCATAAGCTAACTATGAAAATAAGAACAGAAATGATGTAACAAAGGCTAACTACTGCCCTTTTAGAAATAATAAACCCAATATTTCTCTGGATATTGTCAAAAATATCTGAAATACTAGAAATGAGCTGTTCCTCAGTGAACAGCCTCTAAAATTCTCCATTTCTTCATATAGGCTCCTTGGATGAACACCTGGAGAATTTAATGCAAAGCAGAGAAAGGGATCTTCTGTAATGCATGAGGCAAACCTGGCCTCCCTAACACTTCCACCAGAAGTGTACTTTAATGTGGTTTTCTTTTCCAAAGGTTTCTTTATTTCCCCCATGGCCAGTACTTTCTTGCTCTTTACTAGCAAGATCAGCCAACACAAAGAGCAGAAGGAGCAATAGAAAGCCAAAGTCATTGATGTAGTCACACCAAGATTTATAAAGATTTCTAAAAAAGTGGATGCACTTATAAGTGGTAGCATAAATGTTAAATCCATTTATCTTAGGGAAGGAGCAGGAGTCTGGGTTTTATCCTTATTTTAAATTAATAAGTATACTTCTTCAGACAATAGAGATGTATTATGTTGTGTATTTCATGATATCTGAAGGCTTTTAGCTTGCATTAGAAAGAAGCTTTTTCACTTAACACAATTCCCACATGTGACAGCACAAATACAAATATAAATAATTTGTTGGCACTACATTTTTCACAGTATATTATGCCTTGTCACCACATTATATGACACAACAAAACACACCAGGGCACAATGTGAAACCAAAGCTGAAGGGTTATTCAGTAATTACAGCAGAGCTATACTTGATCAAAACTCTCAGATAAACATCAAAGCAACAGTCACAAAAGGCAGTTATTTCACATTGTTTTCAGTGATGAGAGCATATACACAGCCAAATTTTCTTTTTTCAGAGGTATTTACTTTATCTAAAAACACCTGAGAAAACTTCTAGGCACTATTGCTACATATAGCATTTGGGAACCACAGTAACATCTGAAATAAGCAAAGAAACCAAAATGTTTCAGATGAAACCCTTCCATAAAATCACACTGTTCAACCTCACGGAGTTACCTAATGACAGTTCATCCCTCTAATTTTAAGAATTATATGTGGCATTAGATATAATTTTACAACAGGTTCAGCTGTGTCAGAGCTGGTTTAAGAGGTACGAGAAACAACACACAAAACAAATGAAAAAAACAACAAAAACAAGAGTAAACTCTCACCAAAAACATGGACAACTTTTGAGTCCTGAAGCATGGAGCTCCCACAGGAAGCTTGCACTGTAACTCTGATGTCACCTGTCTCAGCAAACTTCGTCACCAGAAAACTCTCCAATGTAAGGAGTGGCTTCAAAAATATAAAGAAAAGTTTAAATGGTATTTCTGCAATAACCATGAGAACAGTGTCTGAAGAGACTGTCATTAAAAATGTCACATGACTTACACGATTAACCAATATTTTATCAAATTGTTCAATCACAGTTTTCAATATAGAATGTTTCTTACCCTAAAGGGAATCTTTATAAACAGAAAAGCTGCTGGATGGGGCAAACATTTCATTTAGAATAATGGGTAGAGTAGTAGGTTTTCATTCAGATCCCACTGTAATAAATGGATTTTGAGGCCGGTTCAATGATCTCTACAAGATCGTATTTAAAAAGTTATTTGCCTGAAAAAGTGTAGAGTATGTCAGGGTCAAAAGGATTAATTCTGTCAGCTTGGAGCACAAGCCATGGAAGTGCACCAGTCCACTGTAATCTCCAAGGAGGAGCTGAGATGCTCTGTTCCCTGGCCACTATCCATATGAATTACAAAACCCTTCACAAGATCACATCAATCTGCAGTAGCTGTTCTAGCAATGGCAAAGTCAATATTATGAACAGATACAGATCTGTTATTGAAAGAACTACCTTAAAAGAAATTAACCCAGCCAGCCCAGCCAGGTGAGAAATATTCCCAATAGAAATACCTGGATATTTATTGCTCTAGGATATGTTTGTCTAGACTTTCTATCCCCAAATGAATATCACTAGATTGTTTGAGTGCTCTCACTCTTTTCATATCCTCTTAGATATGTTATTTTTGTTATGTCATCTTATTTTAAACTCCCAGAAAATATTTGTCTATACAGTAAATATACAGTACTCATATTATCAACACGGAAGTGCATAAATCCAAGTCTTATCATTCACCAATGCTATAATCACGAATGCACCCTCCTCCACAGTATCTTTTCTGTGGCTAATGAAATAGAATAAATTGTTGTTCCCCCCAAAAAAAGATAGTAGTTTAGAAATTCAAACTAATTCTAGAAGAGAAATTGCCATTTCCATGTACGTAGCAATAAAGGGAAATTAACATCTTAAATGTATGTGACAAACCAGGCATAGTTAGATACTGCTTGCCACCTGCTATGTGGAATGAAAGATGGTCTAAAAGAAGTCATGCAACATGGCAGATACTTCTATTAAAGTAAAAGGTGTCACTCAACCTTTATTGGAAAGAGATTGAAAACCATCTCAGTCAAAACCATTCACGTACCTGTAGATTGTTTCCTATCCACCAGTAGAAGACTGTCAAATTAGGGTTCTTAGGCAGTATGATGGCTGTCAGGTTCACCTCCTGGTTTCTCCCAACGACTGGAATCACTTCTAAATTTAAAGCCTGCAGTGGAGCTGAACAAAGTTCCCAAAATATCACTGAACAAGAATCCATCAATTTATTAATGACTCTCTTCCCCAAAGCCTCTCAGCTGCACACTATAAGGTCCTGAAATTACTTTTCCTTCCCTCCTACTTTTACATCTGTGTTGAAAGCTATGGGCATAATTAGAGGGATCTCATTTCAACACACCATTCCCACCCTCCTCCCCAGAAACCAATCCCTAAAGCTATGAGGCAGATCACCAAAATGTACCTCTCTGATCCACTGGTTTAATCCCAAAGTGGGGAAATGCAATCTCAGCTTTTTTCTTTTTTTTTTTTTTTAAGTAATAAATGATCAAATGAATAGAAATCTAATAAACCTGAAACTGCTAAGGAAAAAGCAAGAAACTAAAAAGGAATGTTGCTGACTGCTCATTTTCATTATAAAATATCAGCTGTTAGGCTCACAGAACACAAAACCTCTCATTAATGCATACTTTAAAATAGATGTGTACATCAGGGGAACATTTATTTGGAAATCAAAACAGATAACCTCTGTACTCCAAAATGTGCCTTACAGTAAGCTTATTCCTTTCTGAACTTTTGCCTAAGAAGGCTGCAAACATTATTACTTGTATGAAAGAAATGCATCATTACAATGATTTTATCTGCTGCTGTTGTATTTTGCTTCGTAGTATGATAACTATATTGAAAGAAAATCTTTCCCTTGGAGGTTTTTCAGTACATCTTTTTCAGAATGTCTTTATAATAGCATACTGTAATAACTAGAATTTCTTAACTTCAGCTGCAACATCTATCCAGGATATCAAATTGTATGGTTCAACATGCATTTATTACACAGAATGAATAGTAGGCCATCCATTTTTGTTTCATTCTAAATATCTTTTAACTCACACGAAGTCTTTAATCCCAGTGCAAACTTAAAGGAAATCAACACCGCTCCAAAGACTTGCTCTTGCCCCCTTTCCTTAACTGAACCATTGTCCATTCACTTGTAATTCACTTTGACTAAACTGACTGAACTTCTATGACAGCAAGTTGTCTGAGCTGTGCACACCCTCTTTTTCCACCTCACTTAACCACGACAGCCTGTGAGCTCCTTTATCTGAATGTTAGGCTCTACTTTCATTCTGCATTTTCTCCAGTGACTTTTTAACCATCCACATGAATTTAAGACATGTTTGGTGCTTAAACAAATGATTTCTTCAATAACTTCTTTACCAAGGGGGAGTTAAGATGTACCTCCTATTACTAGAGCTTCAAGAGAAAATTCAGAAATTGTAGGAATTTGTGCCCCCTAGAAATAGATTTTCCTTCTGATGAGGTAAATCAAAGAAGACTGAAGTGATCTGCATCACTTTTAATTTTGCCATGAATTTACATTTTCCCACAGGAAACTGATCATTGTGAGATACGGTTTTGTTCCTGAAGAAGATCACTTTCTTTTGCAAAATGTTTAGAGGAGAAGTTGTTTGGTACTTGAATGATGATTGTTATTTCAAGTTTGCAATTCTTATACATTACAGAGCTAAAAATAATTATTGTGAGTCCTTCTGCTTGTCTCAGTCACGCAATTCCGTAATGCATTTGAACAAGCTTTGTAGTGCCCTTAATTGTGTGCAATTAGGAATGAAGTTGATTTACACGATTAACGAAGCTACAATTTCAGTGTCGTTTTCAAAGCTTCCTGATTATTCACACTATAGAGATGATGGTATCATGAAAAAGAAAATGAATGCCTAAATCTTCTTCATTTCTTTTTATTTTGGGTTATCTACTCACATTTATAGTACCAGACTTGCTCTAATTTCTTTTACAGTTCATTAACAAGTTGTAAATTGTGTGATCTGGATCAGACCTGGATCTGGTTAAAGTTCATGTAACTGTCCTATGATACAGGGTATTCCAGAGCAATAGAACTAGTCAGGAGTAAAAAATATTCCCTATGCCATTCGTCCCTGAAAATATTCCCTAGGAATACATCAGCTGGAGACAGAGTGAAAGCAGGACTCTACGGACATTTATGTTTTCATGATATTCTACAGTGAAAAACGTCCCTGAATGATTACAAGAGTTTATCTAGAAAGCAGAAATTGCAGTTTAATTTGTGCTAGCTGATTTCCTCAAATCTTGTAATTTACCAAAAAAATTAAATACAGCAAATCACATAGAAAGCATTTATTCAAGCAGGCTGGGTGACATGCTTCCATGAGTCTTCTAGACCATGAGCCACGTCCACAGACAAGCTCAGGAATGGACCACGTCTGCCTCAGTGCTCAGCTGCCACTGCACTTCAGCACCAAGTCCCTCCTAATGCACCAGTCATTTTACGTGTGAAAAGTACCTCTGGCTTCTGCAATTTGCAAATCCACTGGATAAAACACAATCAACATCTTTTTTACTGTTTATCCTGATGTAGGCTACACTAGAAGCACATTTTTAGAAAGCAGTGGTTCTGCTTTCCATCAGGGCTTATTTCTCATTCTCCAAACGGTGAGTTGCTCTCCTCAGAGAAAGGAGTTACACAAGGTTTTTTGCTGTTCCTTGCTTGTACAGATCTACTATTCCTGTGCTTAATCTACTACTCAGTACCTAGATGCTCCTAAAAACTATAGGTGAAGTCCTGAATAATTTATCTGAGCTCTCTGGAGTTGTAAAATAATTAAAAATAAAAACAAAGGAAAAGAAACAGATAATGAAATTGAGGTGGAGAATTCAATTCTGATCCTTTCCATTTGATTTTAAGAGGAGATTGGCTATTAGCAATGATGGGCTGGGCACCATCTGCTAATCAAAGCAGAACTGGAAACTGAACTCAAGGACTCTGGCTACCAAAATACACAAATATCAGCAGTCACCAGACAGGCTGACATAAAGCACACAGGTACGTGCACAGCCTTGTACGTGGCTCCAGCGATTTCTGCTACTTTGGGATTAGGATGGAAGACATGTCAACCACAACAGGGGCAAACAAACACCTGGAGAATGCAAGATGAGTATCTTTTCTTTTGATGTTACTTGTTTCTGAGCTTTTGACATGTCTGAAAAGAGGCAAAACAATAGCTGTCTTGAATCTTGAAGAAAGAGGAAAATTCAGTTCCAGTTATAACTTTCCTTCTTCATTTCAATTATGAGATGACTGAGGTACATTAACCTTTCAATGGTGCATGGTATTCCCTGTGCCATGCTATTCTTCTATTTTAAATCTGTTTGATGGGGTTTTTAAGGTCTTAATTAAGGAGAGGGAGAGAAGTCTACGTCAAGTAATATTGCTTGTCAAAACTTGTCAACACAAACTTATGTCCAAGTACCACTTTAAAACTTTGTGAGAATTAAGTACCTAAAATCTAGGTTCTAGTGCTTTAATGAGTAGCCTGACTTTTAGGAACACTGAGATTTTGATTATTTTGTTTTTTAAACCGTACAAGAACTCATACATTTCTCAACATGTCTGTTCACTTGCTTCACACTGGAAGCTTCTAAAAAGACGTAGCTTGAAGTGTCAAATTTTAGCTGCTAAGACTGCCGACAGGGTCTTGAGTCAGGAAGGTGGATCAAACCTAAGATCTGAACTAAGGCATGCTTACTATTTAAAAGATTAATATACCATCCTTCTCCCAAGTCCAAACAGAACCAACTCTGACCCCCTAATTCATTAGGTTTGCAAGCCTCTGCAACACACATCACTGCAAGACTGCATGAAGTTACTGAAAAAGAATATGCACATTTCCTAATTGTGACTAGCAATCTTCTTTACTACTTCATAGTTGTCATGAGGTTTTTACACTGCAGCAAAAGTAAGAAAACCAAAGAGCTGATTTACAATTGACTTGGACAAACACCACAGCCTCATCGTGCCCAGCCACATTCTCAGCCTTCACCGAGACACGGTAAATCCCAGGATCTTCATAGTGGTGACGGATGGGTTCTCCAGTCATCGTAAGGTTCACATATATTGCCTTAAAGCCATCTCCAAGATCTACCTGGTATTTGGTGTTCAATACATCACCCTGAAAGGAAAATATATCAAAAAAATTTTAGATGGCCAGAACCAAAATAGATGGAACACACGATTATAACCATTTCCTGAAGCACAACAGCATTTCTAGCCCCAGCCAGATATTTTGACTCAACTGCAATAGCTGCAGTAAAACTACTATACCCATGGCAAAGATTTTAGTGCAACAGGTCTGTGTGCATTAATAGAAAAAATACCAAATTTCCACAGTAAGGTGTTACCTTAAAATAAGACACCCCAAGCCATTAACCAAGTTGTATGACACCGAAATCATCACTCTTGTCTTAATGCAGCTGGACATTAACTAACATAATGGTGCAGGGCAGCCCCAGGATCTGCAGTGGTGATCATTTGATTGCAAATAACTAAATATAATTATTTTAGTGAATAACCACTCATGCAGTGAACTTCTACCCTATGTAATTATAAGATAAAATTAATTAGTTTAGACATTCTTCACAGCACCTTCTAAGCAGACCATTGGCATGCCAACCACATGGCCTTCAAGGTCCATGCTGGGACCTTTGTAGAGAGTTTTACTATATTGTACAAAGCTACCTGCATGTCTAGAATGCCAGACGCATGCTTAATGAAGCAGATTATTGAGCTGGGTTTGGGAAAGGGTTTAAAAGTCTAGACAACTAGTTCTGTCATGTCAAACATCTCACAGAATTTATTTCATTGCACTTCTGCTAAGCACTCCTTTAAATCACACTGTCTTCCTAAACTCAGGCCTAAAATACTACAAGACTGATACTACTGTCAGAGGACAAACATATGCCCATCACTCATGTCATGGTGTGGCTGCTCAGGAGAGAAGTCAGGCTTTTGCTGTGTCGACTGGTGATGTGGATGGAGTCAAAGGAAAATTCATTTCAACTGCTAGCAGCAACACTTTCGCAATACTCCTGGCAGCACTGCCTTAGCGAGCTGCCCTGCATCCTCAGTAGTCTTCAGCAATATGTTCCTCCCTGCTTGCCACAGCACACAGCCATCACAGTCACACAATTAGAACAGGTTGCAGGGCCAGGCTTGGTAGAAAATTCTCTGTATTGTGAAAACACAGCATTGGTTTAAAAATCTTCATTGCCTCTAGGAAAGGAATGCATACATTCATATGCTAATCAGGTGACCTGAATGGCCATCAGGCCAGAGGGTTGACACCTTTCGAAGTATTCAAAAATCACTTCCCCATAAGCCACTCTCTGAAATAAGTTTATATCAAAATGTAATCCCAAAAGGCAGCAGTAATATAGGAGGCAACAAAGCCTAGAATTTACATACCCTGGCATTACAAAGGGAAGGAAAATATACTAATATTTCCTCTTTCTATTATTTTGCAGTTTGGTTGATTTTCTTCCATGTTTTATCAGATGAAAGACCACTGCTTATCATGTAAAAGAATACCCATAATAAGGAACCTATAGGGTTATCAAATATCTAAACACCATATTTCAACACACATAAGGGAACTTAAAAGCTTTTTCACTGTGAATATTTTTTTTCCAAATAACATCTTTCTTTTGACAACAGATGACTAGAATTTATCAGAGGAGATAATGTTATTAAAGTTTAAAGCAAAAGAGATGTCTTCATTCCAGCAATGTGCCAGTAAGTGGAATCTCTTTAGATGATATTAGCTTGCAAACAGTTCTTGTTCACTCTTTCTTATGCTAACAAGTACACATGCATATTTTTTCCATGTGAGACAGAAACCAGTGTTGAAAGCCAATGGATGCAAGCTTCTCTTAGTGTTTTATTCTAACAGCTTCCCTAGTGTTAAGATAAGAGTGCTGTCTTCAAAACATCAAGGCAGTTTCTGTTTCCCTAACCAGAAAAGACAGGGAGCAGTGGACAGATAACAAAAGAGTCACATAAGGAAAATGCAGCTAAATTTAAAAGGAATTGGGGCTGCTTCTTCCATGCAAAATAGATGATTGTCATGACATTACTTATTTATACATTCAGCCAACAAAATTTAGGAAAAAAAATTATAATTATAAATTATTATTATTTCTAAGGTCACTTGTAAACTGACAAAACATATCAAAGCCTGTTTTCTTTACTTCCTGATGTCCTTCACCTAGTAACATGCATTCACATAAACAATTAAATCAATTTTGTTCAGCAGAGAAGGTGGTATGTTTTGGTTTGTCCTAGTAGAGCTGTTTCTTAAACTCAATAATTGTTATGAATTCTCCTTAGACTTTCTTGCATAGATTAAATCCTAAATACTGCTTCAGGACATTTGAGTATAAATATTATTGTTAGCCATAGGGGGCAGCAAACGGCTACGTTTCTTCTAAATCTGTCTTCTACTTCGATGTACCGAGCAAAGACCATCAGAAAACACAGCACGGGATTCCCTTCCAGATCCCTCACTTCTGAAGATTTTTGAATAGTTTTAAATGCTTTCCTTATTGCCACAGAGGTTCTTAGCAGGAAAAGAGTCAAACTGCCAGTCAAAATCGTTAGGAGCCCAAATTGCAACCAAATGCTCTATTCTTACAATAAACATTTCCAAACAAATCCTAAAAAGAGAAGGCAGCTAATTTGCCACACAAACTGTTGGGGCACTGCAAGCATTGGGACACAGAGCCTGCAAAGTGTTAAGCAGCCCAGTGTTCTGCATATAACCTTCTTGATTCCATTACAGAAATTAATCCCAAGTGCCCGATTTGTATTGCACAGGTTTGCCAAAATGTGTGAACTTTCCTCAAGTTCTTGCAAATCAGTGGGGTTAGCCAGGAAGTACAACACTGTGGTAACCTGAGCACAGCAGTTATAGCCTAATGCTAAAAAACAAGCATTAGGAAAAATACCCACAGCAAACAATACATCCAAAAGTTACTCACTGCTGTTGGTCAGGGCCTTAGGGCATTGTCCCTCTTAATAAACAGAAAAAAACCCATATCTCAGGAACACAGCTAATATATAATAAACGTTCTTATGCTGTGGTGTTTGCTGATTTCTGTAAAGCTTTGCCTGTTTCCTTTCTGAAAGGCAGATTCCCAAACCCACTTAAATCAGAATATTATATGTTGTCTGCATTTCTGTTCTTCTCTGATACAGCAGTTGAAATTTTCAGTCCAAGGAGACTTTGGCAATTTAGTTCCTTTGATTTTGCAAGAAGCTATTGCCTTTAAGGAATAATTACTGACTATGCTGCTGAGGAGACAAATCCCGTTCTGTGGACAGAATGTGGTGGTTTACTGAGCTTACTGCATTGTCTGATTCACTTGAAAACAGAAGTTTCAATATTTAGAGAGTTATTCATCTTTGTCTCAAGCAAAAATTAATCTTTATTCAGCAGCAAAGTAGGAAGGAGGAAAATGAACCCTAAAAATAGCAAGGAAACTTTCATAAAGCCAATGATCATTACTACCTGCTCTTGTCTGACAATGAAGGTGATGTCTTCCCCAGGCTTAATGGCCAGGCTTTCTTCTCTGATGCTGATCTGAAGTCCTTTGGGAGCAATCAATGGACACATATGCTGTGCTAAATTCTGCTGCAGGTCTATGCCACCTTCACACACATTAGAAATAACTTTCCTGTACCTGCAAAAACAGTACACAGTGGGCACAGTGAATCGAAGAAGAATGCCATCAGACACACTGAATGTGAGTGTGATGGTAGCTAATGAATATTCCTTGTGTTCACAAACAGACAAGATTACAGATGATCAGAACAAACTCATGATGCAAATACTTTGATAAGGGACATTGCTTTTACTGAGTAAAACCTGTTGAAGAAAGAGGGTATGGAGCACAATAATGATTTCACTTGTATGCATTGGAAGAGTTGGCCTTTTTGAATTTAGAAACATGCCTGAGCAGCCCTCCAGGAGCTAGGTAGTCTGCTGTCCTCTCTGCCACACCCTTTCCTAGTATTCAGCAGTCCTCAATGTTCTAGAGGTCTTGGTTCAAACCCCAAAGAACAGGAAGAAATTAGACTAAGCAGCTTCTGCATTAATCCAGAATCAAGTGCTTAACTGCTGCTTTCAAATCTACGCATTTCTTAAAACACTTGCATTTATTTAAGATAGCAGCATAAAAGAGTGAAAACCTAACACTTTTAAAGAAATAATAATGGAATATTGGAAGTGTACAGTAATTATTTACCATTTTCACTCAGGTATGTTATTCTTAAACATCCTTTAAAATTGGAGTCAGATTTCACTCTTTTGAATTCCTATTCTGTATACCACAGCTGTCAGCCGCAACCCAAAAGGCATCATTTTCCTCGGTAAGGCAAATATACACAGAGACTGTGATTCTATTGCCAGATTTGACATTTCATCGTTTGGTTCTCATCTGCACAACCGACAGAGATGATGTTATGATAAGCCAGAATAGATGCCAGCTGCAAGTTATTCTCAGCACAGACGTCAGACTATATTGTACTGTATATTCTATGCTGTATTGTTTACAGTTACTGAAGCTTTCCTTTGATTCTGAGTGGCCCATATGGTCAGGAAAAGAGTCTGTTCTCCACAGAACTCCTTACCCCTATGGAAGTGAAGTGGGAAGTTCTGTGAGATGACACTGGCTCCTTAAAGTAATTAATTGAATTCAAACTGAAAATTGCTTTGAACCCAAGCAAAGGGCTAAAGGAAAAGCCTCTGAACGGACATTCCTAACAATGGCTACAAAACGTCACCCTCTCTGCTCAAACAGGTTAGTTTTTGAACAGCTGTGAGCATGTAAAGTAGTATTTCTCTTTCATTAGTCTGCAGGCAGCTTCTGCACATGTTCTAAATCAGAGCCAGAACTTATGCATTTCCCAGTTTTTCCATTTTGCCTTATTTACATTTTCTACAAACCACTTTTGTGGCCCTTGGTTGGAATGTTCTCCTCTTCTCTGGAAGCCTCTGCAAGCCAGTCAAATGCAAAATCAGCTTACCCAGTGCTGCTGGTGTATGCCTGCCCCAGCACACAGTCTTCTGGAGGTGCTTCTGGGTTAAACCAGAAGTCAGCAAAGCATTTGCTGGACTCTGACTTCAGAGGTGCAGAGCGCTCAAAGCCATAATCACTGAAAAACATCAACACCAACTGTGTTACTTCAACCCCACTTCATTCAGCAGTCTCATTTGGGGTGGATGAGACTACTTTTTTAAAAGCAAAAAGATTTTTGTAGTAGTATTCTACCAGCTGAACATGCAAGTTAACGAAGCCAGTTCCATTCTAAGTCCAAATTCAACAAGAGTTGCGTACACTTGGAGGAAAAACTGGTTGCAATTACTTTGTCAGTTCTGCAAAATTAACTCTTGGTAGCTTAGATTCTTAAAAGGTTTTCTTTGCCACTCAGACCAACGTATTTATTCTGGGTTGGGTTTTTTTTCTTTTTTGCTTCATTTGCAAATAGAAAGGGTTTGCTCGCCTTACAAATCAATCCAATGGTCATTTTTCAAGTCTTGATCAATAGAGAAAAACATCAGGATTTGTTCAGTCAGGTTAAAGAAATACTTAAAACATGGCAGTGTTTTTAAACAAAGGCAAATGCAAAAGCAACACGTTATTCAAAGAACGGACTGCCTGTTTTTTTATACATGGGTATGTGGGGAGAGAGACAAAAGGAAGAAAATAAATCCATCTCAAACGCTAAGTAACTATTTAATAGCAATAAATCAAAAGGTCCACAGACAGACTCACCATAAGAAATCAGAGTTCACACATTCACAAACTTTGGATGTGAGAGCTGATGTGAAACTTCTCCCTTTAATGCACCATGATGTAATCTTCCTTTTTCGAAAGCTCCTCTGCTGGCCCATGATGCAACGATCACCCTTGAACATCAAAGCACTGGACTTATTGCACACTGTAACCTACATAACACCTTCTGTTGTTCTGAGAAAGTCTGGTCTTGCTACTAAGACTATAAACTTGTATCAATTCTCTCATATTCAAATGTACAGGTATAGAAAAGTCTTATATCCATGGGTAACAGGCCATTACAGAGTTGTAACCTACACTCCATTTCAGGGCACAAATCCAAAGATATTCCTGAAAATTCATGTTCAATTGAACCCAAGTTTCACATGTGCACAACCTAAGCACAACCCTATAACTGGCCATTTAAAAATACAGCATGTATGCAGATGGCTGAAGTTCTAATTAAATCACCATGTCTCATGTCTCGGCAATCAACAAGCAGCACCAACCATGAGGACACAGGTAGAATGAAGACTATCTGCATGCACTCCACTGTTAACTGTGCAGCTGCCAGTACTCTGTCAAAGTCATTTTAGTAGTTTCTAATTTCTGAAAGACAATTCAATGTCAATATCCCAAGATACTGTTACTCTGTAGCCTTAGATCTATATAACATTCCTTGTAAATACACAGCATTCCCAAACAAGTAGTGTAAAATTAGGCATGAGAACTAACATATGAGAGCTGGAGAAGCACAGTCATAAGCCAAAAAAACCCAACCCTGCAGAGAGAGAAAGAGAACAAATGTACTGGAAGAAGCAAAAGATAATAATCAGAGTTATTATGAATAAATATGACATATTCCATTTTATATAAAAAAAAAAAAAAACAAAAACAAAAAACCAACAACAAAGAACAAAAAACAAAAATCATACCCTCACGTTAGTCTATTTAGTCAATACATCATACAGAGAATGTAGCTTCCCAAAATTGGATTTGGCCAGAGCACCAGGATTAGCACAGCCTTAATGCATTACTGCAGAAATGGTATTGCCCAGAACAACTGGACTCCATTACCTGATTGGCCCACTGATAACCTAAATTACTTCTGGAATGGACTTTATTCATGGCAATTTATGTATGAGTACAGTATGTGGTCAGGAAGTTGGCAGAACACACAAATGCATGTTGAAATTGCTTCAATCAGTATTACATGCTCTAGTTTATGGTATATGCTTCTCAGTCCAGCAGGACCACCTATTATTATGGCAGACCACCAGATACACTTCTGTCTTTCCCAGGACACAGATCACACAACTGAAGGGAACATAAAATCCTCTCCCATTTTAAACTATTGTAAAATCAGCAAATACCAACATATGGAGATCAAAGCTGGGGATGTAGCATCCAAATTCTATTTGAAAACATTTTCCTAGCACGCAGTTCTACATGCATACGAAAGCTATGGAAAAGTTGTGGCAGTTAACGTAAGACTGTGAATACCTGCAGATTTTTGAGCTCCCAAGACTCATAATCATCATCAGTACACTCCCTGGGGAAGGATGGTCTGAAGTCCACCTTTACCAGTTCCCAGTCTGAACGGTAGCTTATATGTCCAAAGACTCTGAACAAAAAGATCAAAAGCAAAATCTTACTGCAAATAAATACCATACATCTGAGGTTTAAATTTTCAGTTCGATCTTTTCCTTTCTACAGTAGGTTCCCTACTAAAAAGTCCCTGGTCAATTTTTCTTCCACTTTCATTCCTCTTCATACACAAAGTCTGCAGTTAGAAAACACTTGCTAATAGTCCACAAAACTTTACAATGAACAAAAAAATGTAGCTCATAGATTTAAGTTGGGTTTTTTCCCCAGCTAATTATCCAGTAATTTAATTGGAAATATACTAGCATTTCTAATTTGGAACCCAACATTTTCATCTATTATCTTGTAATACAAAACACAGAACTCTCAGATTTTGGCAGGGAGATCAGATCGGGGAGCAGAACCAAGGATCACTGGATTCAGTTTCCAGCTCTGCCACTCATTCCTTGTGATTATAGTGCAACTTCTTCAGTTATTTGTTGGTTTTATTTGTGGGAGTTTTGTTTTGTTTTTAACTTCTACAGATTTCAGATGGCAATCTGCTATTGTCTAAACTCACAGCAGTATCATGAAATTGTATTAATTTCTAAGGAATACACTGCATTTACACATTGTGCTGAGGAACTCGAGTCTCCTCTTCATTTTGGCTAGTTCGATGTATTACAAAAAACAGTCACAAACTGTAAATTTCTTTTAGTGAAGGGGGGGAAAATTGCTTTAAAAAACAAACTGCATTTTCAAAGCAGCCAAAATTTTCAAAATCAGAATATTTATTTCCAAAACAAAATGGTTAAGTATGACATCCAGCAACAAATTATAAAGGATAAAGACTCTATCTGGGCAAAAGTCAAATGTATTTGTGGTTTGCATCAGGCTTATGTGATGTGATTTACTTGCCAAAGAATTTAAGCTTGATTCTGAAGCCAACAATTTCTGTGCAGTTCATACTGCAGAGAGTTCATGTTTCAAGATTTAGTAGCATTCTCTAAACTAATTCATTCCTTTTGTTTTGCCCTCAGTCTTGTCCAAATCCAGACACAGCACAAATGGTACAGTTCTGCTAAAAGCGTTCTGCTAAAAGCATTCTGCTGTTCACAGTCATTTCTCTTGTCCTGAATACCAGGTTCAAAGTGGAACTAGGGTAGACCAGAAGTTTGGAAATAGTGGATTCTCTGCAGCACAGAGGCAACATCATCATGCTAAGAATCTTTCCTGGTAGATGGATGTAGAGATCTGAAGTCTACCAAAGAGGCTGAAAAGTAGTTGTAGAGACTAAAGATGTACAGTAATTTCCCCCTTTTCTTTCTCATGACCGTGCTTCTCAGGCATAGACAGAGATGTAGATATCTACAGATTATTGCCCATACTGTTCACATTACAGTGACTGAATAATCCATGCTCACAGGAAACGTCACCATCAGAAGTGCACTTAACTAAACAGAAACATGCATTTAGTTCGTATGTCTTCCTCTTTTCTTGTAAGGCTCTGAGATTAAAGGATTTGGATCATCTACTTTCCTTCTAAATGTACCCACGCCTTAGAATTAGAAACAATGCACAAAAATTAAACAATGTGGCTATATGTGCACATAGGTGTGTGGTCCCACTTCTCTCACTGAGACCTACAGGTTCGGTTCCTTTTTTCTGGTTCAGCTGGAACCTGAGAGCTGCTGTCACCATATAATCTTAATCACTTGTAGTTACATATTCAATAAAGTAACTACTTAGGTGGTCTCATGATTTCTCCACAATGCCTACTTCAATATGACTGGCTTTCCTGACAGGCATGAAGTGTCTTTTGTATGCTAAATACCTGTATTTTTTTATTTTTAAAATATTTTTTCCTCCATACAAGGTATTAACATAAGGCAGACTTCACTTTGCGCTTACACACCTCAAAAATGATTCTTTAGACACCACGAATCTTTACAAATTGGTTAAATTTCTTTTATTAACTCATTTATCAACAAACACATTCAAGTGCAAGGAGCCAAGTCCTGTCAAATCTTTACTCCTGCCTCGAAAAGGTATTTTCTATGAATAAATGACATTTTCTTCATTTGTGTTAGCTATTTCAGGCAGATTAGTCAGAAAAGAAGAGGAAAGGAGATGGATGTTTGACTTCAATACAGAGCAGAATAATCACTGAACTACTGATAATTATCTTTGAGACCTCACAGAAGTTGATTCCAGATGCCTGTTCATTTCACATATGTACATATATAATACTTGCAAGCCCGCGCACACATATATATGGAGGGAGCAGACACACACATATGTATGTGTGTTTATATAACCATATACACAAAACAGAGCCCAGGGAGTTAAAGAATTAATTTTGGTATCCAGAAAGATACCAAATTATTAAGCTACCCACTTGTAAGTACCTTGGAGATAATTAAAATTATAACATCCACCATGGATTTGTCAAAACCAAATCATGTCAAACTAATGTAATTCACTTCTTTCACAGGGTAACTGGCTTAGTGGATAAAGGAGGAAATGTAGCATATTTTGACCTTTGCTAAAAATGTTACACAGTTCTAGCTGATATTGTCGCAACATAAAAAAGAAAGCATGAGTGCAGATAAAATCACTGTAATGGGGAATGGGAGTACGTATCCAATTAGAAGTATCCATTTTCAAAACAGAAACAGAGAAATATTTTGAGATACGTAGCACAAAGACATGATGGGTCCACAGTCTATATTTTTATTAACACCCATGTGGTCAAATAACAAACACCTAAAATTTGGGAGATACATATGCATGTTATACGCATATTTACACACCCACTAAAAATGAAGAGGGGCAAGGATGACTTACAAGCTGCTTAGAGAATATAACTAATGAAGAAAGATTGAAAGAACTGGGTTTTGCCCTGGAAAAGATGAGAAGTACAACAAAGTGTCTTCAGATGCTTGTTATAGGCTCTTCAAAGAGACCTGGAGGAAGGGCAAAACCCAGGAAGGACAATGATCAATAAACTTAAGATACAGCTGCACAATTCTCTAATTCCTCCTCCTCAGCACTGGTGAGATCACACTTGAGTGCTGTGTCCAGTTCTGGGCTCTTCAGTATGAGAGACATGGACAGACTGGAGGGAGTCCAACAAAAAGGGCCAGGAAGATGATGAAGGAACTGAAGCATCTTTCCTATGACAAAAGGCTGAGAGAGCTGCGGCTGAGAGGCAATGGGCAAAAACTGAAACATGGGAAATTCCCTCTGAACATCAGGAAATCACTTTTTTACTGTGAGGGTGACCAAGCATTGGCACAGGTTACCCACAGAGGTTGTGGAGTCTCCATCCTTGGAGATACTCAAAAGCCATCTGGAAATGGTCCTGGGTGGCTGGCTCTTGGTGGCTCTGCTTGAGCAGGGGGGTTGGAAAAGATCATAGAATCACAAAATCAACTAGGTTGGAAAAGGCCTAGATCAAGTCCACCTGTTGCCCCAGGACTGCCAAGTCCATTACTAAAACCATTAAGGACCTCCTCTACATGTTTTTGAACACTTCCAGGGATGGTCTGTTCCAATGCCTGACAACCCTTTTGGTGAAGAAGTTTTTCCTAATATCCAGTCTAAACCTCCCCTGGTGCAGGTTGAGGCCATTATCTCTTGTCCTGTCACTTGTTACTTGGGAGATCAGCCATCTCCTCCTCCATCCTCCTTTCAGGTAGCTGTAGAGTGATATGACCTCCCCTGAGCCTTCTCTTCTCCAGACTAAACAATCCCAGTTCCCTCAGCTGCTCCTCATCAGATGTGTGCTCCAGAACCTTCACCAGCTTCATTGCCCTTCTCTGGACCTGCTTCAGCACCTCAATGTCTCTCTTGTAGTGAGGGGCCCAGAACTGAACATGGGATTCAAGATGCAGCCTCACCAGTGCTGCGTACAGGGGGATTATTACTTCCCTAGTCCTGCTGGCAGCAGTAATGGCCTCCAGAGAACCCTTCCAACCCCGACCGTGTTGTGGTTCTGTGGTGGTAATGATACAAGATATTGAGGTTGTTTATTATCCCTCACTAGAGCAAGAAATTAGTGAAACATCAGGATTAGAGCTAGAGGTTAGATTAATTTTTGAGACAGTATTGTGCAGTCCCACATCCTATATAAAGTTACAAAACGTATACAAATTACTCTAGAGATTATGCAAATTCTCCTAGAGCAATACGGAAGCTGCATACAAACTATATGTGTATACAGCAAAAGCACTTCTTCAATGGGTGAACTATAAACCTCCCCTCTGTGGATTTTTAGTGAGACAGAAATAACTTTTCTGCCTCTTGGTCCAGCCTGTTTCAAAAAAAATTACTCATTTCCATTAGGGCTGTTCTGATTGTACAGACTGAAAACCATGTTCTGACAGAGCACAGTAACTGCACCACTGGTTCCATCATTCTTTGCCTTAAGTAACAATCCTGAGATTCAAGGAAGTGTACCAGTACAGCCACAAACCCCATGAAAAATGCAGCCATACAGCCTTGTAATTCCTGGGGTAAATTTTCTAAGGAATCCAGCACCTTACATGCATCCTTCTTAGCAAATCGTTTGACAAAAAAGAATTAATGATTATTAATGCTATTGCTGCAGTAAGATGTGTTGCCCTATTGAGGAAAGGGTTTTGCAGGCGCATCAGAAAGGCCCATAACGATATTGCCAAATATCGTTAGAACAAAAAAGAAGTATTTTTCCAAAGTAGAAAAGGTACGCATGTATTAAGTAGGATTCAATGGATTAGACAATAATATGAGCTACAATAAAGCACTGCATAACAGCAATCACAATCTAATTGCTCAGGTGCAAAATATATATGTCCAATAAAATCATATGAATGGAAAAAACTGGAATGGTGCAGTGAGTGTAACTGACGATAAGAAGTTAAATATCAAGATGATAGTAATTCATAAGCTACTAAAACCTTCCTCTGATTAATTATATTTCATTAGAAAGCCATCAAATAAATTCTGTTGAAACTATGAAAGATGATACTGTGATAAATAATTTTTGAAAGAAATTCC